TCCTTGCGCTCCTGAGACACCTTACGTGTGATTTCGTCCAAAACGGTTTCAACACGTCCGTTGCCGGCGACCTCCTCTTGGGCGGCAGTTTTCTGGCGCGAATCCTCTCGCGCCTGGCGTAACTCGGCAACTTCTGCATGAAGTCGCTCGTTGTCCTCCAGCATTGTAGCCATGCGTGTGTTCATGGCGTTGAACTGCTCCCGAAGCCAGGGCTGGTTTTATCAGACTATTTTAGTCTGATTGTCTGAAATTTCAGACCCAGTTTTTTGCCAATCCTGATTTTTCAGACTTAGGCTTTTCTGGATACTGAACCCTTCAGAGCTGTATGATTTTGGATCCTAAAGTTTTCAGAGTAGTCGTTGTGCGGATACTGAGGTTTCGGAGTACATCGCGTATGGACTCTGAATGCGACATCCATGCACATTGTACTTTCCCCGAGATTTCCTCTACTACATCATATGCCTTCCATCATTTCACCCCCGCACGTCTCACGTGCAGTATCTGCACTTGGCAGGATTCCGGCCCCTTCTGTGACTGTGATGCTGTCTCAACAGGGACTTTGCCGCTCAGCGCGTCATGCGTCCTGCCAGGCGTGCCTGCTAAGGACCTCTATGTGGGTGTGTTGGAAGCCATCAAATGCTGGTAACGCGGGAAACTTGCCCTCGCTGGCATGTGCAAAACTGTCCGACCGACCGTGATTGGCGACAGTCCATGCCAACACATGGTTTGTTCGTAACGTCAGCTCATGTTTGGCATGGCGGCGCGAGTTTGGAAGGGGCTGCCATCTAGAAGCTGACGACGAGGGTTAACCAAGAAACACCGCCTCGGGCTTGATGGTGCCCTTCTTCTTCGTCCCTCTCATCCCTCCCCCTCCTCTCAGGCGCACTCAGGCTTTTACACGGGGTCTGTAAATCTTACTCCTCAATTCATGTTTCGGAGTTGCCCTCCTCACGTAGGTTCTCGTTTGTCGACCCCGTCAACAACCATGACAGGGACTCCTGCAGAAGAAGACGATGAGCCCAGCGCCGATGAACCACCTCATAGTGACGAGCCTGCAGAGGTTCGTCGCTTCGCGATAGACATACTGCTGTCGTTAGGTTCTCCTCCTGTCGTTGCTGTTGTGGTTTCCTCCGCAGCGGAGGAAACCCAGCCTGCTCTAAACCCACCTCCGTCCGCGCCCTTCGTGCCACCACCATATGTCCCTCCGCCTGCCGTCGCCTCATCCAGCAGAGGCCCGACTCTGCCCGTTAACTGCGTCACCGCCACCACAGTCCGCTACAGCTTGCCCAGCGCGTCCACGATTTTGTCTGCGAAGAAACAACGGACGGGCAAGTACACCTAGTCTCAAATTATGATCGGAGGTAGGCTCCGCCGCCCGTCCACGCCGCCATCACCTAGTGCAGTCCCTTTCGTTGTTGAGCCGTCACCGCCCAAGCTGAGTAAGAAGGAATTGATTGAGCAGAAATACCTCGTCGCTGAAGCAAAGTACAAAACTTCATGGCTGCCTTTATTTCCATGGCTACTGCTAACTAAAACAAAGGATGGTTACCCTGCTCTCAAGTGCAGTGTCTGCATGACGTTTGGCAAGGAGACCACCAAGTACAGCTCTTCGGGCGATGGTGGCCGAGACCTGCAGACACAGACCATGCGCATACACGAACACTCCTCTGCACACAAAAAAGCTGTGGAGGCCCAGCTGAAGATTGCCGACGACATCGCCGACGGGCAGAAGAGGATTGACGACTATTTGTCGTCGGATGTCGAGGGGAGGCAGGTCGTGCGACTGCTCCGCGCTGTTGAGTTTCTCTGTAAGGTCGATGCTCCCATCAGCATGTTTCCTCGGCTATGTCGCTTTATGGCTGAGCAGGACACCCCAGACCTACCGCTCCAGTCTTACGGTGTTTACCTCACTGGGTAAGTACCCGCAAGTACATTCCATTGCTCTGCCCCGTTGGATTATTTTAACAATTACTCTCTCTTCTGCGTGCGGGTACGGCTTTCAACAGATGGTCCAATGCATGGCGACTCTTCTTCTACGGACCCAGATGCAGCACATTCAATCGTCCCCGTTCATCGGCATCAGTTGCGACGAGAGCACTGATTGTACCAGAGGGAAGCACCTGATAGTGTCACCGCCGGTGATGGCACAGGACGATCGTACCAGAGGGACGTTCCTGTACGATCGCCGCGTCGTCACCGATTTTTTCTCGTTGCTCACCGTCGAGAAGTGCGACGCCGCCTCCCTGCTCTCCGTGCTCCACACTCATCTTCAAGGCGCCGGCATCGAACTCAACCGCATCGCGGGAATCAGCACCGATGGCGCTTCCGTCATGGTTGGGCGCGAGAACGGTCTCGTGGCGCGGCTCCGCGAGCACATTCCTCACCTTGTGTCGTCCCACTGCATCGCCCACCGGTATAGACTCATTATGTTATGTTCTCGCTTTGTTTTTAATCGTTTACTAATTTGTTTCTATGGATTGTGTACAGGGAAGCTCTGGCTGTGAAGGATGCCGCGTCTGCCTGTCCAGACTTGGACATGGTCAACAAGGTCATCCAAACTCTGGCCGATCTCCTCGGCCGTTCAAGCGTGTGGAGCCAGAGGTTCAAGTACCTGCAGCGTGTCATCCACAAGACCAACCTTGAAGTTCAAGGAATCCACGCGATTCGGTGGCTGTCTAGGGGCGAGGCAGTCAGACACCTCTGTAAGGTCCTAGGTGCTGCCATCGTTTTACTGTATGAGTAGAACCATGAGCTGTACGAGGTTGTCATCTCATACAAGTTTCAGTTTTGTCTCTTCTTCTTGGCGGACGTCCTTGCCATCATGAACGAGCTCAACCTCAAGTTTCAGAAGCGAGCGGTGAGCCTTTGCATGTGAGCTTGTGGTATGTTCTTTCACAATCAGCACTAACATTCTGCCCCTTGTTTTGCGCCCCCATGTTTCCACCACCCCACCCCCCCTCCCCGCCCGACCGCAGGTGGATTGTCACCGAGATAACACAGGACGTCGACGAGGCGGTGGGGGATCTTCGGCACCGCTACTTGGAGTGCGGCGGGGTTTTCGGTGCGGGCGTAAGCGGCACGTGGCTGTCGGGTTTCTTAACCGTGTACGGGCGAGGGGGGGCGAAGAGAGTGAAGGTGCGCGGTGTCAACAAGGATGGACAGCCGGTGACGCACACGTACCAGATGCACGAGCGATAGATCAAGGGGCACGTCTACCAGAGCAACTACCGGGACTGCGAACAGTTGTGCGCGAAGTTCGCGATGGGGAGCATGACGAACCTGCTGGAGCGGCTGGACGACCTGTCGAAGCTCGGGCCGACGAAGCTGTTTCGGGCAAGCAAATGGCCGCGGCTTCGGATGGTGAGGGAGAAGAAGACGAGGGAGTATCTCCATGGCTGCAGTGCTATCTTCGACGACAGGCTCCCCGGGTTCGATTTGAAGGAGGCGGAGAAGGAGCTGGCAACTTGGGCCCCGATCATGCAGAACCACCACAACGAGGAGGGCTTCTACTAGGGCCTGACGAACTACCTTGGCAACACGGAGTCAAGCAGGTAAGTCGAGCCTCCAAAGCACGCTGCTCTGTCTGCCCGTGTATGATTGTTTTTGCCAGTTTGACCACCATGCCTGTCTATGTTTGTATCTACTTCTATTGTTCCTTGCCCACCATGCTTGTAGTTTATAATTAATTCTATTGTTCCACGCCTCTTATGTGTGGTTGTTCCATAAACAGGCGCTGACCCAACCTAATGCTTCTCTGGCAAGCATGCGCGGTGTTACCATTCTCAACTGTAGAGTGCGAGCGTGGTTTTTCCAGGCAGAACGTGATCAAGTCTTGGGGTCCGTGGTGCTCTGTTCAATGCCCGCCTGGGTGAGCTGATGATGATTTCGCTGCTGAGATACGACATCAACTGGCAGGAGGCGCTGGAGCTGTGGCACGCAAAGAAGAGAAGACCAGCGAAGTCGGTGGTGTTCGCATTTCAAGAGAGGAAGCGCAAAGGCAAGGCTCTGCTGGAAGAGGCAGAGCTGGATTCTCCAGTGCCAGACTACTTAGGAGAGGATTGGGATGAGGAGGGGGAGAGGGATGGTGGACGTGCAGTAGCTATAGAAGACAACCCCTTTCTGTCGGATGATGAGGCGGAGGATGTCGTCGCTGTGGATGTGCCAGAGTTCTAACTAGGCTAGGAAATTAGACTAGGTGCTGGTTAACTGCCCGAATGCTATAAAATAATGGCGAGTAAATGGTGAAATCACGACTCTGATTAATACTTGCGAACCCTGAAGAAATCAGACTTGAGAGTCACTGGATCCTGAGAAATCAGACTACCATGAAATCTGAAACCTGGCTATTCAGACTTCGGAAAAAAAATTGGGACGAAAATCAGAGTGGGTTTTTTTGAAACGTCAGCCCTGCCCGAAGCTCGTTGAACTGAGCTTGGTCCATTTGGCGAATGCTCCGCCGGGGCAAGGGGAAATCCGTAGTGTGCCCGTACTCAGGTAAGCGCAAACGCTATCGTAGTTGGGCGAATTAATAAGTCTAATTCGCGAGCAACCGCTTTGCAGCTTACGTGAGGGACTTACCCCCCCCCAAAAAAAACCAACTCACGAAAACGGGTGAGCGAGGAAAGTGGCTCTGAATACCAGGTGTTATGAATGAACAACCAGAGTAGCGTGGGAATGAATCACGAAGTGTTCAATCACTCAATGACGATACAAGGTATGGCAAGCCAAGATATAGGAACACCAGAGCTAGTCTAACCATGAGATGGGAAGGTTCGAGAAGGAGATCGAAGGGTCTCGAGTGACGAAGCGAGGCCCGGAGAACTCTCGAAGGTCGAGCCAGAAGGTCTGGAGAAGCCGAGGCGAATCTGTCAGAAAGGTCCGGAACCATCCCGAGGCTTCGGGTGTGTTCGAGCGTTCGCGATTGCAGTACCGCTCGGTAAGGAATCGAAAATTCCTTACACTTGTGGTGTTTGGTCGGACCTCGTCAGACCTTCAGTCCATCCTGGAAAGGCACAAGTGCGCAGGTTGCCCAGGCTGCAACAGGAGTACTAGCAGTTCTCATTCATGTCGAGCACTCGAAGTGACTGCTTTACGGATATCGCGCAGCCAAGGCATGCCATTCAGCGCATTCCATGCTGTGCTTAGGATTTAGCCGGAATGAGGGGGATGAGAAAGAAAGGGGGAGCTGCATCGAGCGCAGGACGAATCTCTCAGAGGCGGGAGGCGGGCAGGAAGGCTGAGAAGAGAGTGAAAGCTTCTCAGCAGCAAAAGCTGTCGTTCGATCTGGTGGATTTGGACGATCCAGTGAGTGCCAGCCAGGCCACGAGTTTCAACCCGACTCAAGCTTGGCGGATTACTAACCGCCGGTCGCATCTTGAAGCCTTCCCGTTACCCGCCACCTCGCCACGCACGGCCGAGCCGAGCGGTGTCAGTGGTGACGAGACACCGGGCAGCGGGGATGGCTCAAGCGGCAAGGGCCCGGGGCTGTGGGTGGATCGATTTGCGCCGAGATGGGAAGACGAGCTGGCCGTGCACCGGAAGAAGGTGAGCCGCGCCGTGCCGTGTCGCGCTCGTACTGCTGTGGGCGCTGTCTCTGTCATTGCTGGACATTCAACCGAGAAAGCAAAATGTGGAGCAAGAAGAAGAAGCATTAAAGCAGGGCCCTGTTACAGAGCCATGAATGAACGCGGGCGCACGTTTTCTGCTGTTTCGTTTTGGCGATCCATTTCCAGCTCGTGCCTTTCGCTCTAAGCAAAGAGAGTTTGTGCCAGTTTACGTGGCTATCGTTCTGTTGTCGTAACCACTGAGCAAATATGCCCCATTCCAACCCCATGGCGGCCATGGCTGCCATCAGGTGCACGAGGTGTCGCGGTGGTTCGATGCGCACTTTGGCCCGCCTGTCACGCATAGGCCTGTGCCGCAGAGCAAGTGTAAAGGCGGGAAGCACAAGGCAGCAGGAGGGGAGCGGAAGGGCGATTCGAGTGGAAAGGTACGGTAGCTCCTGTCACGTGCTCCTCACACATGCCTTGTCTCTGGCAAACAGCTGCTTCTTCCACTGCTGCTTGTTTAGCCTGGTTCCTCTGGCAACTCTGGTTGCATGCGTTCATCTGGTGCGGCCAAATAAAACAACCATTACCCCCCTTAACACTTTCCCAACCCCCTTTCTCTCCTTCTGACAAACTTGTTGTGCGGGCGTGCATTTGTGCATGTGTGGTTGTGTTGTTCCGACGCATCCGCTGCTTGGTGCAGGAGTGCTCGTCTCAGCCGGCCAGCAAGGTGCTTGCTCTAGTGGGCCCCCCTGGATGTGGAAAGACGGTGAGTCCACCCTTGAACCTTTCTGCTCCTCTCTGCTCTTCTCTGCCTTTCTCTCTCCTCCTTCTCCCCATTCGCCCATGCGTTCGTTCTGATCATTGACCTTTCGTCACAGCGAGGTCCTTTGCTCTTCACAAGCCTGCACAGCACATGCAGGAAGCATGCATGAAGCCCGTCCTCCCTCCCTGTGCGTGCAGGCGCTGGTGCACGTGGTGGCAGCAGCGCGTGATGTGCGTGTGATGGACTGGCAGGCGCCTGTGCCGCTGCTATGGGACGACCGCCGCCACATCCGCTCCTCTGAAGCTGCTGCTGGTATGCTGCCCATGCCGCCCTATGTGCCTTTGTGCTGCTGCTCATGCCGCACAACCCAGCACAGCACAGTGCAACGCAGCATTTGTGTGCCCCGTGTCCTCTATTCGTCATGCTAACTCCTTGCGGCTGGCTTGCCCTGTGACCGCCCTGTCCCCCCAGGCATAGAGCACCAAGAGAAGCTCGCCAACTTCTCTGACTTCCTCCGCTCCTCCCGCCTCTTCTCACCCCTCGCCCTCTCCACCACGCCCACGCTCCCTCCGGCTCCCACTCCCACTGCGGGCCCTTTGCAAGAATCGCACCCTTCCTCGCACTCCCCCGCATCCACCCCTTCGCCCAGCACCCTTCCAATACTCTCCTCGCAGCCTCCTCTGTCCCGCCCCCCCTCGCATGCCAAGAGAAGTCAGCCATCACTGCCTGTCTCAGCACCGGAAAGAGGGCAGATGAAGAGGCGTGCGAAAGAGGTTATGCAGCGACCAAAGGACATGAAAGGAGAGCGAGGAGAGATGATGAGGGGACGTGATAAAGGGAGAGCAGGTGGGAAGAGGGGGATAGGGAAGGATGATGAGGATAGGAATGATGACAATGATGAAGATGACGACGAGGAGTGGCTGCCAACATTCAGTGAAGCTGGGGATGATGCTGATGCCAATAATGATGATGGTGGTGACGGTGCTGTGGTAAGGCACGGAAGAAAAGGAGTGGGGGCGACACAAGGGCGCGTGTCGAGTGGAGGGCATGCAGGAGCATGGCATGTGTCATCATCGTCGGTGCTGCCACCATCACCACCGCCACCTCTAGCTGCACCACCACCTGCACCGCCATCTCTAGCTGCACCACCACCTGCACCGCCACCATCATCCGCATCCCCTTCCTCCGCCTCCCCTCCTCGCCATGTGCTGCTCATAGACGACCTGCCCTACGTGTCCGGGCGGCAGCGCTGCGAGGCCCTGTGCCACGCCATGCAGTTGCTGGCTGCGGCCTCGCACGTGCCCGCCGTTGTCGTGCTCTCCCTCCCCACCACCTCCTCCTCCGCTGCTGCTGCCACCCTGGCTCAGGCTGGCGGTAGGGGTGGTGGAAGGGGAGGTACGGGAGGAGATTGGCGGCAAGGGGATGGGGTGCCAACGCGAGATGTGCTGGATGCGTTGATGAGCGGAGGTGCTCACAAGGTGAGTGTGTGATGTGACATAGGCCGGGTGTTCACAAAGTGTTTTGTACGGGGTGCGTGTAACAGGTGACATCCCACGCATTTTTATGGACACATCCACTCCTTCCCAATTCTTTGTGCATTCCCTGTGTCTGCAACATTCGCACATTTGTCTTGCCATTCTGGAGTGTCCTATGCCTTAACGCCATCCCCCATCGTGTGTTCGAATCTCGCACGCTAGCCCCGCACTTCCACCGATTCCCTTCCATTGTCAGCATCTCTTCTGTCGCGCCATCTCCCCCCTTTTTCCATCAGGTGGAGTTCAACCCCATAGCCCCCGGCGCCATGCACAAGGCGCTGGCAGGTGTGGCAGCAGCGGCAGGGTCAACTGTTGCAGCGGCGGCTGTAGCGGGTGTGGCGGAGAGCAGTGGCGGGGACCTGCGGCACGCCATCTCACAGCTGCAGCTACTCTCTCTCTCCACCCGCCACCCCCCCGCCCACACCTGGGACCCCGGTGGTGGTGCTGCTGGGGGGGGTGGCAGTGCGCGGAAAGGGAGAGGGGGGGGACGGGGAGGCAGTGGGGCAGGAAAGGAAGGGACAGAGCAGGAGGAGGAAGGGGTGAAAGGGAAGAAGAGGAGGAAGGTTCAACAAATGGCAGCAAGTGGGGGAGGTTCCGCTGAGTTGGTCGATTTGACGAGGAGTGAGTCGGATGGTGGAGGAGAAGAGGGTGGCGGGGAGAAGGGAAGGGCGTTGAGACGTGAGAGTGCTAGCGCTGCAACTGCCACGGGTGGTGCAGGGGGAGGCAGCGGAGGTGCGGAGGATGCTGTGCAGGGTGCAGGGCGCGATGACCCGCTGTCCATCTTCCATGCCGTGGGCAAGTTCCTCCACAACAAGCGACTCCCTGCAGGTGACTCGCACCCGCGCTTGCTTCCTGCACACCGCCACGTCTCTGCTACCCCAACCATACGCCCTACAATAGGCGCCGTGCACATTCACTGTCCTTTGCTGTCTAGGCTCTCATGGTACTAACTCGAAAGTGGTCGCCCCCTCCACTTTCTCCTTTCACTCCATTGTTGGCCGCCCATCCTGAGCCACATAGGTAGTACACCACACATCGAGCCACACTGTTGACTGCCCTCACACTGAGTACCTTTTTTTTGGCTGGTGCCCCCCCCCATCGCTCCCCCACCCCTCCTTCCCGAACCTCTCTGGGATGCCATGTGTGTGCTCCCCACGTGCCTGCTTCAGCCCAGCACATGGCGTGCGAGGGGCAGCAGCGTGAGCACGAGTGGGTGGCGAATCCACTCAGGTGGCAGCAGTGGGGGCAGCCCAGCGCCCAGCAGATGAGCACAGGGGACGGTCCACCGCACCATCATAACTTGGAGGCAGCTGCTAACAGTGGTGGCAACTGTGGCAGTGATGGCAGCGGGGTGGCGGTGCGGCAGGAGTTGCAGCGAGAAGCAGTGGACATGGAGGCAGCAGAGATGGTCCTGCAGCGCGCCCAGATACCGCCCATGAAGCTCTGCTGCTACCTGCATGAGAACAGTGAGCACGCAGGCTGTGGTTGAGGGCACTCAGCCAGGGTCTCATCTCATGCTCGTCTCCCGACCTGAATGAATCCGCTTGTCCTCCTTCCTCCCTCATCACCACTACCACCATCACCACCTCCCTCCCTTTCTTCCTCCCCCTCCGCCCCTAACTTTCACTGCAGCTCTCTGTAAAGTTCATCTCACCTTCTTGTGCTCCCATACTCCCCCCCCCGTCTCCCTCACCCCAAACCACATGTCAATGCACTTGGCAACGCCGTCAACTCGGTCCCCCAGTGCTGGACATGTTCCATCCATGCGACGGCCTGGAGGCAGCAGTGGGCGCATCTGCTGCACTCAGTGACGCGCTCGCCATGCTCTCCTCCTCCGCCTCCTCGCACCTCTCTGCTTGGGCTGGCAGCAGCATGGCGGCACACGGCACGGGTGGCGGGGACGAGGATCTGTCGCCTGCAGCCGTGCGTGCAGCAGCAGCGGCGTCAGTGGCAGCGAGGGGAGTCATGTTCTGGAACACTCAGCCAGCTCCCAAGAGGTCAGAGAACGGCCTCTGGGAGGGGAAATGAGGGGAAGGGGGGTCCTGTAGTGAAATTCGTAGTGTGGCTGTTTTGTCGTTGGCTGTGTAATTTCGAGCCATGTCCATTCAGGATGTTCACAAGCAGGTCACTTGCTCTTGGCATTTGTCTGTGTGCCACGTTCTGCAGGTTCTTTGCGTTCCGCTCACCAGTTGTGTGGGCCAGTGATGCGCAAATGCGGCGCAACAAGGTATACTTGCTTCCTTCACTGTACGAACTTTTCAACTGCAACTACTGTGGCAACCCCAGGATCTGAGTAGAAGTATCACTCCATCACATGCCGTTTTCCTTGTCCATCTCCTTCTCTTGCTTTTATGCGCACCTCAATGTCTTGAATCTGAAACTGTACTCCAGCTACCTAGCCTTTTTACATCAAACTCCCGCCATCTCCTCTACATCACACCCGTGTCCCCTACAACTCCTAGGCGTCGCTCCTGGAGTTGCGGTCGCAGTGCTTTACAATTGCAGCAAGCCAAAGCTTGCCACTTGGTTCTTTGAGGGGCAGTGGTGCTGACATTGCAACTGACATCAGCATGGTCCGGTTATGCTCGCTGCACACTATGCTGCGAGGATCTATTGGGTGGAGCAAGGTTGAAACACAGGCAGCAATTTATGACCATGCACATGATTCAAACGACGACATCGAGGATTTGTGACACAAGTAACCAGCACCTTTCAACATGTGGGATTTTTTTTTTCCTCCCAGGACCAAGTGTGACCCCTGAAAGGTATTCAGTGCCTATCCATGGTGGTCTAATGATGCTGGAGGATCTACAACGGATAGTGAATTTTGTCTACGAGGGAAATTGGTTCAGAAATTCGCCCCTCGAAACTACCTCGGTGCACTGAATCGGGAATGGAGCGCCGTTCATGAACTTACCAGGCCTGCTGCCCAAACACGAACTGGCTGAACCAAGGGCGGTAACCGAATCACGCAGCGCCACGTGTCAGGCACTCATTCACAATGTCTGCTCTGGTCAGCCACGTCAGCACATCCTCCTGCTCTAAACTCTTGCCCAGTTCAAGCAATGACAACTCCCAACTTCTAGATCATCCTCCCAACTTTGTTCAGTTCCCGTCCTCCCATCTACTCATCTTAGGATTGTTTTAACTGCTGACAATGGCTACCGCAACTCTCGCTCCTGCCGTATCCTCAAATCTCCGCCAGGATTGCTGGTCCCCTGTGACAGCTAGGAGCGCATCTCGCCTATCCTCGTCGCTCCTCGCCTTGCCACTTTCGAATCGTCGCCATGCCAGTGCATCGCGACCAGTCGTCGCAGCACCACCCAGGAGACTAGCAGTGCGGGCTAGCTTCGGCGCGCCGAGCTCTGGCGGTATGTGACGGTGATGTGCCACGACCTGCTTTGCTTCTTCTTCATGTGTGCTTGTGTGTCTGCTCGCTAGCTCGTAAATGAATGAAGTAAATTGGTTGCCCTGGTAGCCTGAATGAGTTCTTCCTCATCTTTTTTCCCCTGCCTCTCGGACGTAGAAGCGAATCGAATTCGGTGCAACTTCACTTGCTCGTGTCATCATGCCTCCCATTCCACATGCATATTCACCCCGATGTTTTTGGCATGGTTATGCTAATGGACCAATTTGAATGCAGCACCAGCCCCTCACACTACACGAACTACACTAGGGCACCACCTCTCCTCGGTTTCACGCCTCACCACCTTTTTGCTTCTTTTCTCCCTCCTTTCAGCACTGTCGCCTGAGTTAAAGTCGGCATTAGACAAGTTCGTGGCTGAGAATAAGGTCGTTCTCTTCATGAAGGGCACCAAGCAGTTTCCACAGTGCGGCTTCTCCAACACCTGCGTGCAAATCCTTACCACGCTGAACGCGCCCTTCGAGACAGTCAATATCCTTGAGGATGACAGGCTACGACAGGGACTCAAGGAGTACAGCAGCTGGCCTACCTTTCCTCAGCTCTACATCGATGGGGAGTTCTATGGCGGTTGTGACATTACCATTGGTAAGAGGAGTGGGCTGGGATTTGAACATTTGGGGCTTGTCCTGCCTAAGTGTTTTCAGTTAGTGTTGCAAGTTGAAAAGTTGCACCCTTTAATTCCAGTTGTCCGGCGTGCTGTGCTTTTCCATTTTTGTAAGGGTCGTTCTTTTCCATCTCGTTGCTCTTTGTAGGTACCCTGCATGGATCAGTCTGGCAAAAGTCTTTTTAATTGGCCTTATCTGCCTTTTTAATGTATCCGTGCAGAGGGTTTCCAAAGTGGGGAGCTGAAGGAGACCATTGAGAAGGCACTGCTTAGTTGAAGTACCGGTACCTAAGCCAAGAGCACTTCTATGTTCAGTACAGTTTATGCTTAGATAATTCCCTGATCAAAATGTTTCTCCAGTATGCTGAAGTCTTGTACCATTTCACAAGAAGCCTTCGATATCCTTAGGGTGTGTCACTAAGTACGTGCCCTGTTCAACACCTAGTTCAGTTACCCATTTAGGCATGTATGTCTAAATGCTAGCTTAACTAGGAAGAAAGGCCGCCATGAAATGGCGGCCAGAGGTCTAGTTAGGGGAGGAAAGTGTCGAGAGAAAAGAGTGTTGGATTAGGAAGAGAGGGGAGTACAAGGAGGGGTTAGTACCCCCTACAGAAAGGTTCAGTAACAACCTACCAAGCCTATATTAAATTATAACTTATATAATTTGAACACACCCCCTAGGCTTGGTAGTGTCAAGCCCACTCACACCCCCACACCCACACCCACACCCACACCCACACCCCCTAGCCCAGAACCCCCATTTCCAGCAGGAGCCGCAACGACTCCGGAAGTGGGCATCCTACGGCCCTTGGTACGGCAATGGCGGCAGCAGCGACAGTGACGACAGCGGCGGCGGCGGCGGCGTGCGGCGGCGCCCGGCCCGCGGCAACAGCGGCGGCAGCGGCGGCATGAACGTCAGAGGCTGGTTCAGCGGCCCCCGCCCTCTCGGCGGCATGTCCAGTCACCTTGGCGGTGGGGAGGGCCCGCATGAGGCAGTTGTTGGCTGCAGCAAGGAAGGGGGGGGAAGCAGGGGAAGGAGGGGGGAGGGGGGGGGGGGGGGGGGAGAGGGGCGCGGGGCGTAGTCCAGAATCACGCCGGCGGCTGCAGAGCGGGCGGCAGGTCCGGCGGCACCATTGACGATGCGCGGCCGGCTGTCGCCCGATGACGACGCCACGGCAGCCAAACGACGGATGCGCGGCCGGCTGTCGCCCGATGACGCCGCCACGGCAGCCAAAAGACGCAGCCACAACGCGACGTCGATGCCGCGGCGGAGAGGCGGAGGTGCGACTGTAGCTCGACTAAGCCGCCGCGGCATCTCAGAGAAGTCGCCACGGCGGCACGGAAAGGCAAGGCCGCCACGGCGGCAGGGAAACGAAAGGCAGCCACATAGCGCGCCTTGAAGACAGGCGGCTCTCCAGGAGGGCGCTTCACCTTGAAGAGCCAGCGGCCATCGACTACGTTTACCCCAGGTGGGGGAACTGCGTCGACGAAGGTGCCGGTGGATCTCCAAGATGCCATCTCCTGCTCCATGGCAGCTATCCACTGCGAGGCCCAGGGTCCCGAAGTCGCCTCAGCGTAAGTGCGAGGGGTCGGGATGTCGAAAGCGTCTGGGTCACCCTCAGGGACTAGCAGCATGGAACAGAGATGGGGAGCAGCCTCGGAGAGGAAAGCAAGCTCGAACTGGCGGTCCTCCAGGACGTCACTGCCAAGGGCAGGAGCACCCCCGACAGACGGAGGACAGGCAGGGTCAGAGACCAGAGCGGTGGCGTAGTCAAGGCGGCGGGTAGAGGCGAAGTCAGCGACAGCAGCGGCAAGGCATGAGACCGGAACAGACGGGTCGGTAACGAGAGAGGCAAGGACCCGAGGAACGAGAGGACGAGCGGCACGAAGGTAGTCGGACAGCGGGGGGGGCGCAACAACAAGGGAGGACGGAGGAGGCGACGGGAGAAGGGGAGGACGAGACGCGAGGGAACGAAGCAACATAGGGTGGGAGTGCAAGACAGGCGAGGCAGGACGAGCACGGGAGGGGCGGTGAGACCAGACGTGCGACGGGGGAGTCGGGTCAGGAGACAGGGGAGGGGACACAGGAGGGGAACGAGGGGGGAGACGAGCCGGGGACGAGTCCGGCGGAGGGAAAACAGGGCCGTAGACAGGAAGAGGAGGAGACGGTCGGGGAGGAACCGACGCAGGGTCGGGGGACGGAAGGCCGAGCAGGCGAAGGGCGGACACCGGCGGGGACCGCTGCTGCGGCGGCACAACGGCGACACCTGGACCGCAAGCTGCTCCTCGGCGACCACCGGCACTCTCCACACCAGCACCCCCAGAGGGACCACCCCCAGGGCGACCGGGACGAGCACCCCCAGAGTCAGCGAACGGGGGCTGCGACGGCGGCGGCGGCGGCGGCGGCGACGACGACGACGGCTGCAGCAGCGGTAGTGGCGGTGGAGGAGGGGACTGGGGAGGGGACACCTGGGGAGGGGCGGCCGGCGAGGACTGCACAGGAGGGCCACCAGAGTCAGACGACTCCTCAACCGGGTCCACGGACGGAAGGGGGGTGACGTGGGACACACCATAGGGGGCGGGACGGGGAGGAGGAGGAGGAGGGGCAGGGACTACCGGGGAAGGGGTGACCAGGAACAGGGGGGGGGTAACCGGGGGACCACGGTGGGGAAAGCGGCGGTAGTAGGAGACAGACTCGTCAAAGGTGACGTCACGAGAGTGAAAGAAGCGGTGAGACGGCGGGTGGTAAAAGTGACAGTCGGACGCGTCGAGGGGAAAACCGAGGAAGACGCAGGGAAGGGTGCGGGCAGTGAGCTTGTCCGTGCCGGAGGCACGGACGTGAGCAAGGCAGCCCCAGACGTGGAACGCAGACGCGTCACCAGGGGACCCAGTCCAAAGACGGGTCGGCGAAATCTGCGGCTGCTGAGGGTGCGGCCACAAGTTAAGCTGGTGAGAAGCGTAGCGCACAGCGAACGGCCACAGAAAATGGGGTGCACCGGCATGGATCATGGAGGTGCGAGCGACCTCCATGACCAAACCGATGCGTCGCTCAGCGACCTCATTCTGCTGTGGGGAGTCCGGTAGGGTGAACGTCTGGGGGATGCCCTCCGCACGACAAAAGCGACCAAGGACACCGGAGGCAAACTCGCCACCACGGTCTGAGTGAAGACGCAAGACAGGGAGACCGCGGTGGACACGCGCAGAGACAAGCCAGGGGATGAGAGCGCCAGGCACATTGGCCTTGCGCTCCAGGGAAAAGACTGTGGTGTAACGAGTGAAGTCGTCGACAAGCAGAAGGAAGTAGCGCTCTCGACGCGGCCCAGGGACGGGGGCGGGGCCCCAGACGTCCAGGTGCAGGGTCTGCAGCGGCGCGGCGGTAGGGGGAAACGAGGAGGAGTGAGGGGCACGGCGAAGCCGACCCTCGACACAAGGCGTGCAAGGTGGGGCTGGAGAGGAGGGAAACGCGGGGAGCGAACCTGGGAGACCAAGGACGAGACCGTGCTGAGACATGTGACGCAGACGCGGGAGCGCAGGGTGACCTAGGCGGTGGTGCCACAGGAGGGTCGGGTGAGTGAGGGAGCGACAGGAGCAGGCAGCAGCAACCTGGGTAGACGCAGCCACCTGAGGGGGCGCTCCAGCCGGGGGGGTCACGGTGTCCAGAGTGAACAGGCCGGACACCGGGTCCTGGGGGAACGTGGACAGGGGGGCACCAGTGGCGGCCTCGGTACAGACAGCATACCGCTCGTGACCAGGGAACGTAGTGGTGACGCCAAGGTCCTGGAGGCAGCCGACACCAACTAGGTTCCTGGAGAACGAGGGGATATGCAGACCTGTAAGAGAACCCGAAGGAACCGCCGGACAGGGAAGGGTGGTGGAACTGCGGGCGACGACCGGACCGCCGGAGGGGTCAGCAAGAGAAACGACAGCAGGAACAGGAAGCGGCGTCAGGGTGGTGGAGTCGCGGAAGAAACACCGAGAGGCGCCAGAGTCCAAGGTGAAGGAAAGCGAAGCCGAGGGGTCTGGCGACGGAACGACGGCGGAAGCACCAAGACTACACAAAGCAGGGGATCCTATGCCTGATGCAGTAGGGGAGGCTAAGCTAGGCACACCTACACTAGGCAACAGTGAGTAATAAGCGGGAAGCACACTAGAGTCATCAGCATACATCACATGCAGAGCAGAAACAATGGCATCCATGTCCATATCAAAAATCTGAATCTGACGACTAAGCAAACTGTGCCAGTCCGGGAGGTCTGGCGACGGGCCGAAGCGCTGACGAAAGAGGTCGTCCAGGCGACGAAAACAGCGGGGAGTGGAGTGACCGAGCTTACCGCAAACGACGCCGCGGCGAGGACCGGTCTGGATCTGGTACTGACAACGCCCGCCGCCAGAGCCACCACGCGGCACACCACCACGCGCCCGGCCACCGCCAGCGCTGGGCCACCCTGGCGGGAGGACACTCGTCTGCCGTGTCTGCGACGGCTGCTGCGGCTGCTGCGAAGGCTGCGACTGCGGCGGCTGCTGCGGCTGCTGCACCTGCAGGGGCGGCGACTCAGGTGAATTGGGCAGGGTCCCCTCGTCCACTCCAGCACCAGGCGACCCGACCCCACCACTACCCCCGCCCGCACCCCCGCCGCCTCCTCCGCCGCGCCCAGCCTTGGGGCGGCGACCCTTCCCCGAACGGACCTGCGCTGCAGCAGCAGTCTCAGCCACTGCGGCAGAGCCGTCGGAGAAGGTGCACTGAGCGGGGGCACAACCCTGAAAGATAGGGACCGGCACGACACCGCTCGCCTGGGCAATGGAGCGGTGACGGGTCTCTATCACAGTCAGGGTGTCTACAAAGTCAGTGAGGGTGAGGTCTGCGGGGTGAACGCTAAGAAGGCGGTCGCGGGCGACAGCAAGGCGGTCAGGGAGGCGGGTGGCAAGCAGGTAGAGGGTAGAGGTAATGGGCGGCTGGTGGGCTCTAAGCTGGGCGTCAGTGCAGGGCCCAGGGAGGGCGCGACGGGGCCAAGGAGGGGCGCTACGGAGCCCAGGAGGGGCGCGACGGGGCCTGGGAGGGGCGCGACGGGGCCCGGGAGGGGCGCGACAGAGCCCAGGAGGGGCGCTACGGGGCCTGGGAGGAGCGCGACGAGGCCCAGGAGGGGCGCTAGGGGGGCCTGGGAGGAGCGCGACGGGGCCTGGCAGGGGCGCGACGGGGCCTGGGAGGGGCGTTACAGGGCCCAGGAGGGGCGCTACGAAGCCCAGGAGGGGCGCGACGAGGCCCAGGAAGGGCGCTACGGGGCCCAGGAGGGGCGCGACGGGGCGCTACGGGGCCTGGGAGGAGCGCGACGGGGCCCAGGAGGGGCGCTAGGGGGCATGAGCGGAAGCGGTAGGTGGGGGGGATCCTACCTACGCGTGATACCATATCAGAATTGGAATTGTCATTGATGGTAAAGTGAGAGTACACACAAATATACCTAAGTGTTGTACCCTCTAAGAGGTAACCCTATACAGTCTATACAAACATGACAAATATAGATGTTTGACAAGGCCGCCACGGCGGCAGGAAAACGAAAGGCCGCCATCAGCGGCACGGTACGAAGTGAAACGTAAGACAAGGACGAGGCGGAAGCGTGGAAGGCAGGACCGAAAACGGACTGCTCTGTTACCATGTCTAAATGCTAGCTTAACTAGGAAGAAAGGCTGCCATGAAATGGCGGCCAGAGGTTTAGTTAGGGGAGGAAAGTGTCGAGAGAAAAGAGTGTTGGATTAGGAAGAGAGGGGAGTACAAGGAGGGGTTTGTACCCCCTACAGAAAGGTTCAGTAACAACCTACCAAGCCTATATTAAATTATAACTTATATAATTTGAACAATGTAACCATAAAACACGCCCGAATGGCACACGCTCAACTCACACCCGAAATTGGCAAACACAAGCGCATATTTCTGTTAAAAAGTCGACAGAAAATTGGACTAAGGGAGGAAGGCTGAGGGTTACAAAGGTGGGAATGCACCCTCTAAGAACTAACCTAACTAAGGCTATAACAAATATACGGTACCTAGTTTAGACAATTATATTTGTTGACACACCCCTTAGCCAAGATAGTGGCAGTTCCTAACAAGAAAAGTACACCAGGGCAGCATTACTAGTCCGACCTCTGATGAGTGTAATAAGAAAACTCAGGGCAGTACTACTAGTCTGACCACTGAGACAAGAGGCCACAAGGCCAGTCAGCAAGTGTAGCAAGACAAGCAGGTATAACACAACAAGTACAGGCAGGTTTAGTATGACTCAGGATACAAGGAGAGGTGTTGCTACTGAAGCTAGACCAAGCCGAGTACAGAACCGCTGATGGTCACGAGAAGCAAGTGCCTTGGTGAAGATATCAGCGGTGTTGGCCTCTGAGGCCAACTGTACTACATGGACCTGACCCCGCTGCTGCAACTCTCGCAGCAGGAAGTACCGCAGCTGGATGTGCTTCGCTCTGCCCTCAAGTCGTGCCTCCTGACACAAGAGGATCATGGCCCTGTTGTCAGCAACCTGGACCGGGGCAGACGTAGGCTGCTCACCTAAGTCAGTGAGCAAGAACGTCAGGCAGCGGAGCTCCTGAGCAGCCATGGCCCCAGCGTAGATCTCTGCCTCACAGCTGGACTGAGCTACAGACGACGACCTGGTGGACCTCCACGAGACTGCACCAGCACCAAGACTAAAGCAGTAGCCCTGAATCGACCTGGGTGTCTCCAAGTCGTCTGCCCACGACGCGTTTGTGTGTCCAGTGAGCTCCCGTCCTCCTAGCACAAGCCCTAGTCCTGATGTACTCGTCAGATACCATAGTACCCTCCTGGCAGCCGACCAGTGGACTGGTCGGTGCCTGCCTGTCACGACAAAGCGAGCCAGGAGACTAAGAGAGCATGCTAGATCTGGTCGAGTGCAGGTCATCAGGTACATGAGGCACCCCACCAGCTATGCGTATGGACCACTAGCCTCGACCGGCTCAGTCAGAACAGGAGCAGAGAGCTTGTGATCCACAGGCAGAGGGGTGGGCTATGCTGAGGAGATCTGGAGACTAAACCTTTGGAGGATCTGCTACACCATATGGGACTGGGAGAGTGTGATCTTTCGAGCCGCACAGTTACGAGAGATCTCCAAGCCCAGATAGCGCCTCAGCTCCCCCAAGTCTGTACAGGTGTGTCTCCTAGGTAACTCGGCCTTCACTGAGGCCAGTGCGACTCTGTCGGGAGTAGCAAAGATAAGATCGTCTACGTACACTAGAATGTAGAACGGTGTTTGGCCCGTGCGAACAAAGAGAGAGGGGTCAGCAGAGGACGGAAAGAACCGCAGCTCAGCAAGAGTGGTGCGAAGCGTGTCGTGCCACTGATGGGGTGCTTGATGAAGCCCGTAGACAGGATGGCGCAGGCTCCACTGGGTCCCAAGTGGGAAGGACCCATATTAGCCCAGAGGGCGCTGGAGGTAGATCTGCTCGTGCAGACTACGCTGCAGGAACGCTGTGGAGAAGTCGAGTGAGTGAAGCTCGTAGTCACGCTGTGCGGCTATGTGAAGAAGGACCCGAAGAGTAGTCATCTTGGGGGTCGGGGAGAAGGTCTGGAAGAAGTCCACTCCCTACTGCTGAATGAAGCCTTTAGCCAGTGGCGTGAGAGCATGGGAGGGATTGAGATAAACGAGCTGGGGAGGAGGAGAGGAGGGAATGAACGCGAGGCGTGAGAGCAGGGGAGCGGGCGTCCCCCTTCCTCTTGCTTTCCTCTTCCCCCTGCTTCCCTCTTTCCCTTGCTTCCCTCTTCCCCCTGCTTCCCTCTTCCCCCTGCTTCCCTCTTCCCCCCGCTTCCCTCTTTCCCCTGCTTCCCTCTTCCCCCTGCTTCCCTCTTCCCCCTGCTTCCCTCATCTCCCCGCTTCCTTCTTTCCCCTGCTTCCCTCTCCCCCCTGCTTCCCGGTTCTCCTTGCTCCACCACCCCCCCCTGCTATACCTGCTGGTTTCCCCCCTGTCCCCTATCCCCCCTATCTCCGCTATACACCCAATCACCCCTCCCTCCCTCCCCCACTTGGCACTTTGTGCTCACACTATTCCCTTCCGCAGGAGTCGAAGACGTTGGAGCCAATGGTCCAGAGTGCCAGCACCAGAATTCTGGGCCTAGTAGTCATATTCCGCTTACTGCAGAGTCCATAAAGTTTTCTCAGTATGGGAGATGTTTGCACAATTGCCATGAGTTATATTGCTGTACTTTACAGTAAAACATGCCACAGCTAAGGATGGATATAGTGTTTGAGATATTGAGCTATTGGTATATGCAAGTGTGGGCGCCACTTTGAGGTGCCTTGCATCTACCCTTGTTACATCCTGTGCCGCCACCCCTAAGTACCTCACAGAGCACAATGCTGCAAGAATTTGGGTGAGGGATGGGAGGACAGAGGGCCAGAGGGATGGGCATAGAGGGAGAAAGAGGGGAGAAGCGTGTGTGAGGGATTGGGCAGAACGAGAGAGGATGGAGAGGATGGGCAGCAGAGCACGAGGAATGGGGGTATTGGTTGCAAGAGATGACGTTCATGTGTAAACGAAAGGGGTGTGAGATAGAATGAGTAGAAAGGAGAGGAAGAGAGCGAGGGGAAGACCAGCGCCAAGCTTTGCATTTGCAGGTTCACTGCACGAGAAGTTCCTCAAGGCCATGCACGGAGGCGGAGGAGGAGCAGCGGACTACACGCAAACTGTGAGAAACTAGGAAGGGAACAATAGGGGGGTGGGAGCGGAGGTGAGTTGGACGGGCGGAGTGAGAGGGAAAGGGATGGGTAGCGTGAGAGGGAGAGGGACGGGCAGCGTGAGGGGGAGAGGGACGGGCAGCGTGCGAGGGAGAGAGACGGGCGGCGTGAGAATGAGAGGGACGGGCAGCGTGAGAGTGAGAGGGACAGGCAGCGAGAGTGGGGAGGGATGGGCGGCGTGAGAGGGAGAGGGACGGGCAGCATGAGAGTGAGACGAAAGGGGGAAGCGGGGAGCGGGAAGGGGGACGCGACAAAAGGGAGCGGAAAGCAGGAAACCGGGAGAAGCAATCGGGAAGTAGGAGGCGGGAAGAGGGAAGGGGGACGCGGGTAGCGGGAAGCGGGATGTGGAACGTGGAACGCGGGGAGCGGGAAGCGGGATGTGGAACGTGGAACGCGGGGAGCGGGAAGCAGGAGGCAGCGGGAAACCTGAGGCGGGCGGGAAGCTGGGAGCAGGACGCGAGATGCGGAACGCGGGGAGTAGTAAGCGACGAGCGGGAGCGTGGCGCGGAACGCGGGAAGCGGGGAGCTGGCTTGGATGGAACGGGGCGCGGCAAGTGGTAGGCAGCGGCACGCGGGAAGCCTTGTTCCTAGGACCCTTTCGAAACCCGTTTTGCGTGCAGGAAACTCTTACTGCCTTGTCTAGATAAAGTCTGCCGTTCGCTATGTCCCGAGTGGTGCGGATTTTACACTGCTAGAAGTCGGAGTGTTGGGCTATGGCATGTCGCTTCGAGTGAAGGACTTTGTGCAGAAATAGCAGAGGGGGGTCCCTCTTGAAATTCAAGATGGACCCCCTTGTTCCTCACCGCCTTTCGCCAGCCTTGTCGCGCGATCGTGCGACACGCTGTGCGACGGGCTGCCGACGCAGGAATTTCACACTTTCGTTTTGTGTGCACATTCTCGCTCCAGACCACGCATGTGTTTTGATTTGCCAATGGGAGGGAAGTTTTGTTTTTCTCGTTTCGTTCGGCGCGAAGTTGTGCGCACTTGCGCGACCAGATGTCCCGTCGTTCAATAAGGGACTTAGTTTTTTCAGGAGGGGCTTCGTTTTAGAACTGAATAATGGTTGAGTAGTAAGAGAGTACAATTGAATATACCTAAGTGTTGTACCCTCTAAGAGGTGACCCTATACAGTCTATGCAAACATAACAGATACACATGTTTGACACATCCCCTAGACTGCATAGGGGCAGGTCCTGAACAAGCAGCTTAGGGCAGCACTACTAGTCCAGCCACTGACCTGCGTCCTCCTAGCACTAACCCCATGCCCAATGTACTTGCAAGATAACGCAAAACCCTCTTAGCGGCAGACCAATGCTGCGGTCGGTGTCTGCTTGTGGCCACAAAGCGAGCCAGGATGCTGAGAGGGTATGCGAGATCTGGGCGAATGCAAGTCATCAGGTACATGAGGCAACCCACCAGCTCAGCATAAGGACCACTGGGCTCTACTGACTCCTCAGGAACTGGAGCGGAGAGTCTGTGGGCTACAGGCAGAGGGGTGGGCTGTGCAGAGGAGACCTGAAGACCGAACCTCTGAAGGACCTGACGCACCAAGTGTGACTGAGTCATGGTGATGGTGCGCGCTGCTCTGTCCCTGGAGATCTGCAAGCCAAGGTAACGGCGCAGTTCTCCAAGGTCAGTGCAAGTGTGTCTCTTCAGCAGCTCTGCCTTCACGGAGGCCAGTGCGTCCCTGTCTGCTGTGGCAAAGACCAGATCGTCCACGTAAACAAGGATGTAGAACGGAGTCTGGCCAGCACGAACGAAGAGTGAGGGGTCTGCGGAAGACGGAAAGAACTGCAGGTCAGCAAGGGTAGCACATAGCGTATCGTGCCACTCACGGGGAGCTTGCCGCAGGCCGTAGATGGGACGCCGCAGGAGCCACTGAGTCCCAGGAGGGAAGGTGCCAGTAAAGCCCTGAGGGCGACGCAGGTAGACCTGCTCGTATAGGCTGCCCTGAAGGAAGGCAGTCGAGAAGTCGAGGGAGTGAAGCTCGTAGTCCCGCTGAGCAGCTAGGTGTAACAGAACCCGAAGAGTAGTCATCTTCGGGGTCGGAGCGAAGGTCTGGAAGAAGTTCACCCCCTCACGCTGACTGAAGCCTCGAGCCACGTAGCGCGCCTTGAACACAGGCGGCTCTCCAGGAGGGCGCTTCACCTTGAAGAGCTAGCGACCATCGACTACGTTCATCCCAGGCGGGGGAATTGCGTCGACGAAGGTGCCGGTGGATCTCCAAGATGCCATCTCCTGCTCCATGGCAGCTATCCACTGCGAGGCCCAAGGTCCCGAGGTCGCCTCAGCGTAAGTGCGAGGGGTCGGGATGTCGAAAGCGTCTGGGTCACCCTCAGGGACTAGCTCGAACTGGCGGTCCTCCAGGACGTCACTGCCGAGGGCAAGAGCACCCTTGACAGACGGAGGAGAAGCAGGGTCAGAGACCAGAGCGGTGGCATAGTCAAGGCGTCGGGTAGAGGCGAAGTCAGCGACCGCAGTGACAAGAGCGTCAAGACATGAGAAACGAACAGACGGGTCGGTAACGAGAGAGGCGAGGACCCGAGGAACAAGAGGACGAGCGGCACGAAGGTAGTTAGACAGAGGAGGAGGCGCAACGGTAAGAGAGGACGGAGGAGGCGACGGTAGAAGGGGAGGACGAGACGCGTGGGAACGGAGCAACATAGGGTGAGAGCGCGTGATAGGGGAGACAGGACGAGCGCGGGAGGGACGGCGGGACCAGACGTGAGACGGAGGCGCCGGGTCAGGAGACAGAGGAGGGGACACAAGGGGGGAGCGGGGGGGAAGGCGAGCCGGGGATGAGTCCGGCGGAGGGATCACAGGGCCGTAGACAGAAAGAGGAGGAGACGGCAGGAGAGGAACAGATGCAGAGTCAGGGGACGGAAGGCCGAGCAGGCGAAGGGCTGACACCGGCGGGGACTGCTGCTGTGGCGGCACAACACCAACACCGGGACTGCAAGCTGCTCCTCGGCTACCGCCGGGACACTCCACTCCGGCACCCCCAGTAGGAACACCCCCAGAGCCCGAAACTCCTCGAGCACCAGTGCCACCCCCAGGGCCACCGGGGCAGGCCACAACAGGAACCCCAGAACTAGCACCCACCCCAACGCGGGCACCCCCAGGGTCGACGAACTGCTGCTGCGACGGCGACGGCGGCGGCGGCGGCGGCGGGAACGACGGGTGCGGCGGTGACGGCAAGGGCGACGGCGACTGCAGAGGCTGTAGGGGAGGAGACACCAGGGGAGGGGCAGACGGCGAGGACTGCGCCGCAGGACCACCAGAGTTTGAGGACTCCTCGACCGGGACATCCGACGGGAGAGGGGTGACGTGGGACACACCAGAAGGGGCAGGACGGGGAGGAGGAGGGGGGGGGGCAGGGACCACTGGGGAAGGAGTAACCAGGAACAGGGGGGGAGTAACCGGGGGACCGCGGTGGGGGAAGCGACGGTAGAAGGAGACGGACTCGTCAAAGGTGACGTCATAAGAGTGAAAGAACCGGTGAGACGGCGGGTGCTAGAAGTGCCTGTCGGACGCGTCAAGGGGGAAACCGAGGAAGACACAGTGAAGGGTGCGGGCAGTGAGCTTGTCCGTGCCAGAGGCACGAACGTGAGTAAGGCAGCCCCAGACGTGGAACGCAGACGTGTCACCAGGAGACCTGGTCCAAAGAAGGGTCGGCGAAAGCTGCGGCTGCTGGGGGTGCGGCCACAGGTTAAGCTAGTGAGCAGCGTAGCGCACGGCGAACGGCCACAGAAAATGGGGTGCACCGGCATGGATCATGGAGGTGCGAGCCACCTCCATGACCAAACCGATGCGTCGCTCAGCGACCCCATTCTGCTGCGGGGAGTCCGGTAGGGTGAACGTCTGGGTGATGCCCTCCGCTCGACAAAAGCGACGAAGGACACCTGAGGCAAACTCGCCACCACGCTCTGAGTGAAGACGTAAGACAGGGAGACCTCGGTGGACACGCGCAGAGACAAGCCAGGGGATGAGAGCGTCAGGCACGTTGGCCTTGCGCTCTAGGGGAAAGACAGTGGTGTAGCGAGTGAAGTCGTCGACAAGCACGAGGAAGTAGCGCTCTCGACGCGGCCCATGGACGGGGGCGGGGCCCCAGACGTCCATGTGCAGGGTCTGCAGCGGCGCAGCGGTAGGGGGAAACGAGGAGGAGTGAGGGGCACGGCGAAGCCGACCCTCCACACAAGGCGTGCAAGGTGGGGTGGGGGAGGAGGGAAATGCCGGAAAAGAACCAGGGTGACCAAGGACGAGACCGTGCTGGGACATGTGACGCAGACGTGGGAGCGCAGGGTGACCTAGGCGGTGGTGCCAAAGGAGAGTCGGGTGAGTGAGGGACCGACAGGAGCAGTAAGCAGCAACCTGGGTCGACGCAGCCACCTGAGGGGGCGTCCCAGCCGGGGGGGTCACGGTGTCCAGGGTGAACAGGCCGGACACCGGGTCCCGAGGGAACGTGGACAGGGGGGTACCAGTGGCGGCCTCGGTACGGACAACATACCGCTCGTGACCAGGGAACGTAGTGGTGACGCCAAGGTCCTAAAGGCAGCCAACACCAACTAGGTTCCTGGAGAACGAGGGGATATGCAGACCTGTGAGAGTGCCCGAAGGAACCGCCGGACAGGGAAGGGTGGTGGAACTGCGGGCGACTACCGGACCGCCGGAGGGGTCAGCAAGAGAAACGGCAGCTGGAACAGGAAGCGGCGTCAGTGTGGTGAAGTCGCGGAAGAAACACCGGGAAGCGCCAGAGTCCAAGGTGAAGGAAAGCGAACCAGAGGCGTCTGGCGACGGAACGATGGCGGAAGCACCAAGACTACACAAAGCAGGGGATCCTACGCCTGACGCAGCAGGGGAGGCTAAGCTAGGCACACCTACACTAGGCGACAAGGAATAATAGGAGGGGAACACACTAGAGTCATCAGCATACATCACATGCAGAGCAGAAACAATGGCATCCATGTCCATGTCAAAAATCTGAACTCTACAACTAAGCAAACTGTGCCAGTCCGGGAGGTCGGGCGACGGGCCGAAGCGCTGACGAAACAGGTCGTCCAGGCGACGAAAACAGCGAGCACTGGCGTGACCGATCTTACCGCAAACGAAGCCACGGTGAGGACCGGTCTGGATCTGGTACTGACAGCGCACGCCTCCCGAACCGCCACCCGGTACACCACCACGCGCACGACCACCATCAGCGCTAGGCCACCCAGGCGGGAGGGCACTCGCCTGCCTCGTCTGCGGCGGCTGGTGCGGCTGCTGCGAATGCTGCTGCTGCTGCGACTGCTGAGGAGGCTGCTCAGCTGGACCTGGAAGGGTCCCCTTGTCCACTCCACCACCAGACAACCCGACTCCACCACCACCTCCACTGGCACCCCCACCACCGCCGCCGTGCCCAGCCTTGGGGCGGCAGCCCTTCCCCGGACGAAACTGCGTTGCAGCGGCGGTCTCAGCCACAGCTGCAGAACCATCGGAGAAGGTGCACTGAGCGGGGGCACAACCCAAAAAGATAGGGACCGGCACTGTACCGCTCGCCTGAGCGATAGAGCGGTGGCGGGTCTCAATAACAGTCAGGGTGTCTACGAAGTCTGTGAGGGTGAGGTCACCGGGGTGAATGCTAAGGAAGCGGTCACAAGCAGCAGCTAGGCGGTCAGGGAGGCGGGTAGCAAGCAGGTAGAGGGTAGAGGTAAGGGGCGGCTGGTGGGCTCTAAGCTGTGCGTCAGAGCAGGCAGCGCGCCAGGTCTCATCTATCGTGCGCAAGTGGGCAGCCAGGTCAGCGACAGTGGGGAAAGACGTAAGGTCAGGAAAGAGCATCAGTAAGATCAAGCGACCCACCGAGGCAGCAGGCGGGGTGGAATAGCGCAGGATAACAGCGTTTACGAAAGCCTGGGCGGTGGTGATAGACCTAAAGCGAGGACGCTCAGACGAGGAAGGGCGTTGCTAATGGCAAGCTGGGCGACAGCGTCACGGGAAAGCCAGACAGAGCGAGCGAGGGCAGCGGCCGCAGTAGACTCGCGCTCAGCAGGTGTGGGGTCAGCGGGCAGCACTGCAGGGGGTCTGGGCAGGGAAGCGTACCGTCAAGGTGTGCCGAGAGCGGGTGGCCATCCTGCCGCTGACCAGTGAGGTGGCGGCGGAGGTCGGCTAGCCAGGCATCGAACTCCAGAGGCTGGCCTTCAGCGTCGAAGCGAAGCTCCGCCGCCATCAGGAACAGTGCAGGGCAGGGCCAGGTGAGGCAGTGCAGCGCAGGGACGGGGAGCGTGCCGCACGCAGATCGGCGGCAGTCCGGCGGGAAGGTGAGCACGGGGGCCAGTAGCGGCGGGCGCCGGGCCGGCGTGGACAGGTGCGGGGGCCAGGTAGGACGGGCGCGGGGCCGGCTAGGACGGGCCTGGGACGGGCGCAAGGCCGGAAAGGACGGGCGCGGGGCCGGCTAGGACGGGCGCGGGGGCCTGTAGGACGGGCGCGGGGGCCAGCTAGGACGGGCGCAAGGGCCGGTAGGACGGGCGCGGGGCCAGGTGGGACGGGCGCGGGGCCGGTAAGGACGGGCGCGAGGGCCACTAGGACGGGCGCGGGGCCGACTAGGACGGGCGCGGGCGCAGCTCAGACGGGCGCGGGGCCAGCTAGGACGGGCACGGGGCCGGTTAGGACGGGCGCAGGGCCAGCTAGGACGGGCGCGCGGCCGGCTAGGAAGGGCGCGGGGCCAGCTAGGACGGGCGCGGGGGCCGTGAGGACGGGCGCGGGGGCCAGCTAGGAGGGGCGCGGCGGGCGCAGCTAGGACGGGCGCGGGGGCCGTGAGGACGGGCGCGGGGGCCGTGAGGACGGGCGCGGGGGCTAGCTAGGACGGGCGCGGCGGGCGTAGCTAGGACGGGCGCGGGGGCCGTGAGGACGGGCGCGGGGCCAGCTAGGACGGGCGCGGGGGCCGTGAGGACGGGCGCGGGGTCGACTAGGACGGGCGCGGGGGCGGCTAGGGCCTAGGGCGGAAGTATGGGCGGGTGGCGGGACCTACCTACTGCTGATACCATCTTAGAATTGAATGATGGTTGAGTAGTGAGAGAGTACAAGTGAATATACCCAAGTGTTGTACCCTCTAAGAGGTGACCCTATACAGTCTATGCAAACATAACAGATACACATGTTTGACACTTCGATCAAGAAGGCCCCCCTCTGCTATTTTGCCGTGGGGTTTTAATGAGCTAGGAGCTAGGAGAGGAAAGTTTGATGAGAGAAAAGAGGATGAGACTAGGAAGGGAGATGCACACAAGGAGGGAATTGTACCCTGTACTGTAAGGTTCAGCATCAACTATCAAGCCTATCAATTATATATGAGTTACACTATTTTAACAACGCCACCTTCGTATGGATGCTACTAAGAGTTTAAGGGTTTTTATGATACCAGTAATTGCGCTCAAAATGAAAGCGCAGTTACTCAAGTTCGCTTTTACACTGCACTGTATGATTCATTCTTCCATCAAGAACCACAATGGTGCTCAATTTGATAGGCTACACAGCTTGTGGGAGTTGCAACTATTACTGGCCAAAGCTAACATATCACGCAAGTGCTTCCAAAGGTCAAGAAGGCGACAACAGCTCACAAGAAGGCATCCTTCTCCAAAAGAGCCACCACCTCCTTCTGACTGTTCAACTTGGCCACATCTGCTGCTGTCTTGCCATCAAGGTTCCTCAGTGTGCTGCAGAAGGGGGGAGGGGAGAAAGAGAGGAAACTGGAATCAAGACACAGCATAGCATGCCACAAAAACACCAAGATAGGGATGGAGAACCATAATCACAATTAAAACTACACTGGTAACTCACACTGCAGCACCACTCTTCACCAGCAGCTCCACAACCTCCTTACGCCCATATCCAGCAGAATAGTGCAGAGGTGTATTCTTGTTCTTGTCCAGGGAGTCAACATCAGCGCCAGCATCAAGAAGCACCTCTGCACACTTGACCTGCCAACGAGGTAAAAGAGAAATACTGTGAGCACACCCTCACTTGAAAAATTGGCACAATTTGATCCAGCGCAAGATGTTTGTAGCATACCTCGCCATATCCACATGCAAAATGGAGGGCTGTCCTCCCCTCACCATCCTTCTCGTTTTTGTCTGCCCCATCAGCAATCAGCCGCTTGACCTCCTGCGAATTCCATAAGCCGGGTAGCAAAACGTTGCACAAGTCTGGGGTTACCATCAAGTGGTTTCGCTGATACACGCAAATAAAGAATACACTAAGAATCGAGTGTTCAATTAAACCGTGACAGAAAAATCTTATCACGAAATGCCTACTTCTGCATCACAACAAAAACGACCGGGAGGAGAATGCACCCTTCCCGAAAGCATGCACGAAACCTAGTCTTGTTTTGATTTCAGTTATAAGAGCATCGTGCGGTTTCTTGGCGCTTTCCCCCAAAACAAGAGCGCATACAAGGGAACGGAACGTATGAGACTAGCATGGGCCACAAGAAATGGGTGTACTGGAAATACCTCTGCGTCACCATTGCTGGCCGCGGAGTGAAGTGAGGGGGACTCCTCCTCCCCCTCTGCTCCTTCCTCTGCAGCATCGTCCTCGCCAGACGCACCAGCTGCGCCAGCCATGTGGGGAGGCATAGGGAATGAACCGCCCATAGCCTTCCCGAGCTTGCCCAAAACCTCAGGATCGTTCCAGTACCTGCAAGCATACGAAAATGAGTCAGAAACAGCCGCAAGGAAAACGTGCAACCAGATCCTGCAAGCATTCGTTTGCGGGAGGTGAAAGACTTGATAGAGTAACGTACTTCATCATTGCTGCAGGACCTCCGGTTTCTAGCTCTTCAAGGACCGATTTCAGAGAGGGATCCTCCTTGATGGCAGCTACCCGCTGCTGCATCTGATCACGATACGAGGGGTTCTGAAGGGTCTGCATCATGGTCATCATTTGAGGATCCTGCATACACCACGGAAATCCAGCAAAGACGAATATAGCTGCTACTAAGCTTTATAGTTCTCAAACGTCGTTCGATCTATAAGGCTCTACAACAGCGACAGCGTTGAAAATGCGATCGACAATGATGCTGCCTTCTACGACGCGTGCGTATAATACACAATGGGAAAAACGAGAATGGCAGATCCCAACCTGCATCAGCGCGTTGCCGAACTTCTCGGCAATGGTCATGAAGCTTGGATTCGACATCACTTGCTGCATCGCCTGCAAACGAGTTACAAGAGACAAACAGCAAACGGGATTAGACGGCACAGGATGGATGGCGCATCCAGGAATGATCTGACTGGCTGCCAGGGTTTGCCAAACTACCTTCATGTACTGCTGCGGGTCGAGCTGGGGCGCGCCGTCAGTTCCAACTTTCACGCTACCTTGGAGCTCTTGTGTCATCTGCGAGAAGGATGGATCCTTGGCAATCTGCTCTGCCATCTCCTTGATAGATGGGTCCTGTATGCATACACCAACGCATCGTTGCGTGAGGAAAAATATTAGCCACTGAAGGGAAAAGAACCATAACAGCGAGAAATTATGGAATGGCATTCGGATATGCGTGCAATCTGTGTTGGGAGGACAAAAACTAACATTGAGCACTCCAGCGAGGCTTGAAAAGTCGAAGGCGTTGGGTGGACCGCCAGGGGTTGCAGACTTCTCTGATGCAACGGCAGTCGCATCGTTAGCAGTCGACTCCGCCTTCGTGTCAGGGACAACCTCCGTGGTAACTGTGATTCGAGTTGACATATTAAGAAAGGCGTAAAGACACACGGGATTGCCTTACACAGGAAAAAGAAAAGAAAAGAAAAAAACGGCACCAGGCGAAAGAAATTACCCACCTGTAGATGCCTTATCGCTTGATTCAGACATCTTCAGAGAATAGCGGCAGCACTAGAAGTCTGTCTGTGGTCAGAAACAGACTGGGCAAAGAGGGCCGAAGGCGGACTGAGGAAGTGAGAAGGGTATGCGCTGTTGTTGATTACGAGGGAAGGTAGCCCAGAAAACTAAGGAAGGACACTGAGGTTTGTGGTGGTGTCCGAGCAACCAGCAAGGGATCTGGTTGTGGGATCGTTAGCGCACGAGAGCCATGTGCCGCAAACGAAGGTGCGTTGCGAACAAGGCACAGCTCCACGAACGCAATCGCGAGGATGCTGGGAATGCATGAAGGGGTTGTCATCGTCAATGGAAGCACTATCGAAGCCTTTTCACCATCGCGCCACTGAACTGCTGACAAGTGGCGTGTTGATGATAGAAGGTCGGAAACCTTCGGATATCCACCCACTCAGCACATGCTAAACCCTAGTGCAGGGAGGGAGTATCCTACATTCTGAAAGTGCCCCCACTTACGGGTTGATTATGTTGAATCACTACACTGTCTTACAACTTCAAGTTTGAAATCGTATTCCTGGAGTTCCCATCCGTACTCAACTAATCATTATTCACTTGGCTCCCTATAAGATTTATGTTTGAATGATTGAATATTAAAACCTGAAATTTCTTGTGAATCACGGAGAATCGTTATTTACACCTCATATTGATACACATCCATAAAGATGGGAGTAAATATTTTGGGCACTCGTAAAAACTAAACCGAATTCACATTGATTTGAAATAACTCGGTAGATGCATAATCATACCATACACAGTTACACTCAAATTAAAGTGCATAAGGTCAAGGGAATGGAGAATGTAGTCTTGTGGAATGAATTTACCGCACTTTTCCTAACAATATGATTGAATCAATGGGACTGATGCTGCCCTTGAGAATTTCTTCCTTCCGTTCCGAGTACTCGAAGGCGCGCTCGTCGTGGTGAATGAAAAGGCTCTCCTGGTCGAACAAAGAGCATTCCCCTTCTGCGATGGACGCTGAAAGCTACAATTCGCTTCCCAACCTGCCGCTGGAAACTGGCTGCCCAATGGATTCCTTCCTAGGGACAGACACGGATGTCTCCTGCATCGACGCTGAGTCCTTAGCCTTCCCGGCAAAGATCCCTATTTCAGGTTTTTATTCTGAAAAGTTGTCTTAAAGCTGAGCATGCGGCAGGCAAACTGACAGTTGTTGTTGCCTCATGCAGTTGAAGTGTGTCTCAAGGCAGATTCTTCAGCTTCTTTTGACCACGTCCGTGCATCTATCTTCAGGTCCGTTTTCCTTAGCCCATTCTCTATTCCATCGTGGTGTTGACGCTGTTTGGATTTTTTAACTCGCAGGCTGCTTGCAAAGAGACATCAAGCTTTTGCAAATGGCCCTGTTGTGCTTGATTCGGGCGAAGACCCATTTATTGATGGAAACGTAGCTTCGATCAACTTTGTCGACATTGGTAATTAAGGATTGTCAGACACTGACTCCGAGTCAATCGGCACCTTATACTATGCATTAATGCACGTTTGTGGCAGATGAGCAGGCAATTGGGAATCAGGTTATTCTATTTTGGCAAGTCGATCTTCAGATCAGCATCTTCAAGGTCGGATTGTTCTCAAAAGTTTTCGTCTGTCTGGGACGACATATGATCGAATTATGATCTGAGATTTGAGCAGTTGTGTCGAGGAGGTGCTGTTGAAGATATGGAGCAAGAGCAAGAGGTCGCATCATTTGAATCCTGGAATCTTCCTTCAGAGGATTTTCATGGTCTTTGGGAAAGGTACAGTCGCACGACACATTCATTCGCAGTTTGTTGAAAGATTGCTGTGGTTGTTGTATTCTCTTAAGTCTCTCTCTGTGTCTCGGTGTTTTTCTTCTGCAGCCTGGTTTATGATTCGGGTATTAAGCACCGACTTCTTCGATATGCTGGCAGTGCCCTTCTGTTTTCAGACAAAGGCGTAAACTGTCAGCTTGTTTCTTGGAACAGGTGATTGTATTCAATAGCTCTGGTCGTGACCCACCGTCACTATAATTGCTGAACCTTCTATGAATTTCCAGGGTGGTTTTGCTGTTCGGACCACCTGGTACAGGAAAGACATCACTGTGGTAAGCCAGCTCCGTGGGGACGTATAAATGACTATTATACAAATATCAGCATTGTCAGGGGCATTGAGTAAGTACAGACCCCTTTTTCTTGAAATCTGGCTCACCTTGTGTTGTGTTAGCTTGTGTATTCAGCAAAGCACTGGCCCAGAAGCTTTCGATACGCTTCAAGGAAAGGTGATTTATTCTCGTTTTGTCAGCCATTGCATTATGTGGTTCAGGCATTCTTCATGACACCAGTCTACAGGTATCAGACAGCCCACCTTATTGAAGTTAATGCGCACTCGCTCTTCAGCAAGTGGTTTTCAGAAAGTGCAAAGCTTGTAAGTTCCGATTGGCGACATCCAAGGTCAGCCGAGGGCAAGGTCTAACATGCCTTTGCTTTTTTGCAGGTGAGCAAGCTGTTCAGTCACATCCAGTCGTTTGTGGAAGATCAAAGCTCGTTGGTGTTTGTACTTATTGGTACGTAAAAGCATGCCGCATCCTTTTCCTCTATGCTTTCATGCACGTGAGCTGCCTACAAACGTCGTTTTTCTTCAGACGAAGTTGAAAGCTTGGCTGCTGCACGTCAAGCTGCTTTGAATGGCTCAGACCCCTCGGACGCGATAAGGGTGCGTGGATCAGTCGTGGCTTCGGTATGAGTTTATGCTGACTTAACTGTGTGCGTTGTTTTGCAGGTCGTGAATGCTTTGTTGACTCAACTTGATAAGCTAAAACACCATTCTAATGTCATGATGCTGACAACCTCGAACATTACACATGCCATTGGTCAGTCTCATTGTTCTTGTGGAGATTTCAATGTCTGTTAGCATTTATGTACTGATGCTCTCTTTGTTCAGATCTTGCATTTATTGACCGGGCTGACATCAAGGCATTTATTGGGCCACCATCACTGCAAGGACGGTATAATATGTTGCATTCTAGCTTCTGCGAGCTTCAACGCGTTGGGATTGTTGAAGAGGAGGAGGTACCGCATGAACTATCGATGTGGCTCTTGTTTTCCGTTCTCTAACGTTCTTACTTGGAGACTGATGTTCGATCCTCTTCCGGCTGACAGGGCGATACAGTTTATCCGTGCACGTACAATGAGGTGACGCTGAGCGATTCTGAAAACAACGACAGTGGGAGCAAGGGTTTGCACTTGGGAAAACGTCTTCTCCAAGTCGCCCAGTCTTGTGAGGTACATGTTCCAGAGTTTGAGCATTGTATGCTTTCAGGAGTGCTTGTAGTTTCCTTAATTCAAGCATAATCGCCACTGCAGGGGCTTAGTGGGAGGATCCTAAGGAAACTTCCCTTTCTGGCACATGCTACAAGCAGCGTACCTGGTTCCTGCTCAGCAGACATCTTCATTGACAAGCTGCAGTCAGCTGTCCAGAAGGAGCTGGAAGACAGGAATAACATGGCTGAGAGCTAGCACCAAAGCTTGTACTCGAATGAGTGATATGGTTGACACTCTCTTTACGATAACTACTGTAGAGTGATTCGGTCAGCACTACAGCACCGTACTATGGATTGTTTCTTGATCACCCTGGATTGATTCGTCCAAGATTAGATTACAATACACCATCAACTTGCTGCTGTAGCGGTGTTTTCTTCGGGTAGGGAAGAAACTGCCGATGCAACCAACAATGACATAACTCGTCATACAGGACAAAAATGACGTACCGGCACCATGTGTCAACAAATATAATTGTCTATGTTAGGTACAGTATATTTGTTATAGCCTTAGTTGGGTCAATTCTTAGACAGTAAATTCCCACCTTTGTAACCCTCAGCCTTCCTCCCTTAGTCCAATTTTCTCTCGACATTCTAACATGGCATCTAGAGCTAGGTCTCGCCCTCTACTCACGCTTCCGCCCTAGCACACCCTAGCCTAGCGCGCCTCGCCCCTAGTTGCGCGCCGTGTAGATCGTCCCCTCCCCACCCTACTCTGCTCGTCGCGTAGCTCGCGTCGGCTAGCGCCAGCCACCACTAGCTAGTGCCGACCAGCGCCAGCCGCCGCTAGCTTGCGCCACATTGGCGCCTTCGTTAGTCGCCGACCCCCCCCCTCCCCCCCGCTCGATCGTGGCTCGTCCCTGACGCCAGCGCCAGCCAACCCGCCAGCTCGCCAGCGCCAGCTCACCTGCGTTAGCCAACACTAGCCACTAGCGCCAGCTCGCCAGCGCCAGCACGCCAGCGCCAGCTTGCCGGCGCCAGCTATTAGCCGCCAGCGCCAGCTCGCCAAATACTAGCCGCCAGCGCCAGCTCGCCAGCTGCTAGCCGCCAGCTCCAGCTCGCCAGCTGCTACCAGCTAGCGCCAGCTCGCCAACTGCTAGCCGCCGGCGCGCCAGCTGCTAGCCGCCAGTTGCTAGCCGCCAGCGCCAGCTCGCCAGCTACTAGCCGCCAGCTGCTAGCCGCCAGCTCTAAAGCTGCTAACCGCCAGCGCCAGCTTGCCAGCTATTAGCCGCCAACGCCAGCTCGCCAGCTGCTAGCCGCCAATGCCAGCTCGCCAGCTGCTAGCCGCCAGCGCCAGCTCGCCAGCTGCTACCAGTTGGCGCCAGCTCGCCAGCTACTAGCCGCCAGCGCGCCAGCTGCTACCAGTTGGCGCCAGCTCGCTAGCTACTAGCCGCCAGCGCGCCAGCTGCTAGCCGCCAGCTTGCCAGCTGCTAGCCGCCGCTAGCACCAGCTGCTAGCCGCCAACTTCTAGCCGCCAGCGCCAGCTGCTAGCCGCCAATTGCTAGCCGCCAGCGCCAGCTCGCCAGCTACTAGCCGCCAATTGCTAGCCGCCAGCTCGCCAGCTGCTAGCCGCCAGCGCCAGCTCACCAGCTACTAGCCGCCAGTTGCTAGCCGCCAGCTCGCCAGCTGCTAGCCGCCAACGCCAGCTCGCTAGCTGCTAGCTACCAGCACCAGCTCGCCAGCGCCCGCCCGCCGCTTACCAGCAATAGTCAGCAGCGCCAACTGCCGCCACTGCCGCTGCCGCCATTTCCCTTGCAGCCGCCGCTGCAGCCGCTGCCCTTGCAGCTACTACTGCCGCTGCTGCCCTTGCAGCTACCACGCTGCCCCCTGCAGCTGCCCCTGCCGCTGCAGCCCACACTGCCGCTGCAGCCCACACTGCCACTGCAGCCGCTGCTGCCACCACTGCCGCGGCTCGCCCGTACCCACGTAGCCGCATCCGGTAGCCAGCTCACTGCTGGCCTGCTACCATCCTCACCTCGCTGCTAGCTAGCCGCCCTCGCTGCCACCAGCTCCTGTAGCAGCTGCCCTAGCTGTTCCTGCTTCTGCCGCCACTGTCTTTCCGGCCGCAGCTGCGAGCATGGCGTCGCCCGACGTCTTCGTTCTGCGCCTGGATGGGGAGGGGCGGGCAGTCAGTTTCACGGCCTGGCAGGAAGCAGTTCTCCTTCCGCTCACGAGTCAGCGCATCAACAACAAGTCTTTGGACGCCCACGTCTGTGGTGAGCTCCCCACTATCCCTCGCCCGGGCGCTCCTGCTCATAACGCGACGCCTGAGCAGCAGACTGTGCACGCTGCTGCTCGTACTGCCTACTCTATCTCGGAGTCTCACGATGCCACTGCTCGAGTCGCCATCCTCAGCTGCCTGCCGGTTGCCGAGCACTCCCACTTTGTGGGTGCTGAGTCAGCCCGCGCCCTCTGGCTGGCTATCCTAGCTAGGTACTCCACCCCATCGCCTGCCACTCTTGGTCACCTCCTCCTCCCTTTCTTCCACCCTGACCTAACGTCGTTCACCACTGTAGCAGACTTAGTCAAGCACCTGCGTTCTCTCGAGGCTCGCTGGCGTGCGGCCTGTACTGAGGCCCAGCTAGCGCTCGCCCCGCCCCCCCTCTTCGCCACTGTCTACTTCCTTGTCACCCACCTCCCAGACCGCCTAGCCCCTGCCAGTGACGCGCTCCTTGCTCGTCACCCCCCTTAGCTCACCATTGACCTCTTCTCCACCTCCCTGACTGAGATAGAGGACCGCCTCCGCGCTATCGCCGGTTCCACTGGCGCGCCGGCGGTCCCTATTTTTCAGGGCAGCGCTCCCTCCCTAGTGACACTCCCTGCCTCCGCCTCTGTAGTTGAGACAGCAGCGGTTACCTCTGCCCCCGGCCGCTCATCTGGCGGCAAGGGCAAGGGCAAAGGGGGCAAGGGTCGTGGGGGGTCGGAAGCAGCAGGTGGAGGGGGTGAGGGTGCGGACGAAGAGGGTGGTCAGTCGGAGTCGGGGACTGCACATCAGCAGCAGCAACAGCCGCCGCAGCAGTCTTGGGGGCCGACGGGCCCTTGGGGTGGTTGTCGTGGTGGAGGCCGTGGGGGTTGGGGCCCAGGGCTCTCGGTGCTCTGGGGGTCGCGTGGCTCTTCTTTGAGTCAGGGTGCTGGTAGTTCTGGTAGCGCGGTAACTTGCACGTACCGGCTGCTGACTAGCCCACAGGCGGGCCAGGTGTGCGGGCGCGTGGGGCACACCGCCGCTCGCTGCTTCCGCCGCCTGGACGACCTCTACCGTCGTCACTTCGACCCGTAGGTGCAGGTTCCCCCCTGGCCGGTCTTGCTTCGTCGTGGAGTTCCTATATTTGATATGGATATGATTCAGACTGACCATGCCTTGTATTCTCTGTATTCTAATGCCTGTAGTGTTGCTAGTCTTTATTATCCTGCTGTTTGTAGCCTTGGAGCTACTGCTGTGTGTAGTCTAGGATTCCCTGCTGCGTCAGGCGTAGGACCGGTTAGACACTCTTCACCGGGCCCCGCCTCGTCGGCCCTCTCCTTTGTCTTAGACTCTGGAGCATCTCGGTGTTTCTTTCGAGATAGTACTGCTCTCACCCCGCTTCCTACGCTTGTCCGCGCCGCACTAGTAGACTCCTCTGCCACAGCTGTCGCACGTAGCACCACCACTCTCCCCTGTTCGGCTGTCCCTTTTGGCTTCCTCACAGATCTGCACATCCCCTCATTTGCTAGGAACTTAGTAGGTGTCAGTCACCTTCAGGACCGAGGCGTCACCACTACGTTCCCTGGCCGCGAGAGACACGCTACTTGCACAGACACAATCACCGGTCGACACTTGCTCACGTCTGGGGTAGCCTTGCTCACGTCCGCGATACTGCCGCGGACAAGCTCTCATCCTGCACTCTTCCTTGTGTCTTCTTGGGGTTCCCGCTTGACGCCTCTGACTGGCTGTTATACCACCCATCCCACCACCGTTTTTACCACTATCGTGACGCCACCTTCGACGAGACGCTCCCCTACTACCAGCACTTCCCGCACCGCAGCTCTCCTGTGCCTCCTCCTCCTCTCTTCCTTTTCCCTGCCCCCCCTGCCGCAACCCTCCCGCCCCGCCCGGCCCAGTCTGGTGTCTCCCACGCCACTCAGTTCCCCTCGTTTCCCCCTGTGGGGAAGTCGGCTGACTCTGGAGGCCCAGCTGCTGGGGGTGCGCCTGCTGTCCCTGTGGCGCCTCCCCCAGCCTCGGTCCCCCAGGCCCCTTAGCCGCCTGCTCCCTTGCCTCAGCAGCAGCAGCCGTCGCCGCATCAGACTCCATGGCCGCAGCAGCAGCAGCAACATGGAGCAGTGGGCTCTGGGGGTGCTGGTTCTGGGGGTGCGAGTTATGGGGGTGCTGACTCCAGGGGTGCTGGTTCTGTAGGTGGTGAGACCGAGGGTGCTAGTCTTGGGGGTGCTGTTTCGCGGCGTGCGGGTGGCAGCTGGGGTGCCACTGGAGGTCCTGGAGCGGGCAGGCAGCAGCAGCAGCAGCAGCAGCAGCAGGTGCAGCCGCCGTAGCAGGAGCCGCCGCAGTCTGCCCTTCGTCTCCTTGGTCTTGCTCCAGGTTCCCCTGTCAGCCCGCCCGTTCCCCCTCCGGTGCGTGACCCCGTTTACGGCCCGTTGTTTCCTCCTCCGGACTCCTCTCCGGCTCGTTTCCCCCCGCGCTCCCCTTTGTCCCCTGACTTGTCCCCCGTCCCCCCTCGTCCCCAGTCCCGAGTTCTTCCCCACTGGGTTCGTCGCCCCTCTGGTGCTCGTCCTGTCTCTCCCCATCCTAGTGTCCACCCTATGCTCCTTCGTTCGCGTGCTCCTCCCGTCACAGTCCTCCCGTTGCCTCCCCCGTCGTCGCTACCGTCGTCCCCCCCTCTCTCGCTCCGACGCTGTTCGCACTGCTCGTCCAGTCCTGTCGCGCCTACTTGCGTCGCTTGTCACTGACGCTACTGCTCCTCCTGAGTCTGTCTCCGCGCTGGTCGTTGCTGTCGCTGACTTTGCTGCTAGCCACCACCTTGACTACGCTGCCGTTCTGGTCTTTGGTACTGTCCGTCCTCCGTCCGTCGAGGGTGCACCTGCCCTTGGCACTGATGTGCTAGAGGACATGCAATACGAGTTGGCCTACCTTGCTGCCGCTGTTCCCCATCTCTGCTCCATGCTTGTATCCCCAGTGGGTGACCCAGACGCTCTCAACATCCCTGTTCCGCGCTCGTACGCTGAGGCGGTCTCGGGGCCTTGGGCAGCCCAACGGATACAGGCCATGGAGACTGAGATGGCATCCTATAGATCCAGTGGCACCTACGTCGATGCAGTTCCCACGCCTGGGGCGAACGTAG